TCCAAGTCAAATAAATGCCGGCGCGTAAAAAAATAGTAATGACAGAAATAATAAATAACCCCTTTTTAACGTTGCCGCTCGCAAAGCAAAAAAAATGGGGGGGGGATAGCCCCGTCGGACCCTCGACCCCCTTGGCCTTGTCCACGCCGCTCCGCCGCATATGTTGCGTCGACACCCGCCAGCCTCGATCCTTGAACCTCCGTAGTAGTAGTCCGATGCCATAACCTATAGGGCTAAGCCCAAGCCTAGTGTCGGCAGGCTCGAAATTCTAGATAAAGTGGTAACGCATGGCGCTGCGAGCCAAGGACTCACCCTGGGCCATTCTGTGGCCTGCCCCTGCACGCACGGTCGCCGAAAGCCGCCGGCCTACCAACCGTGCGGCGGCTATCCCTGCGCGTCATCGCTGTCGATGCCGTCGCCCTCGCACACACGCTCGCCTCGGTCAGACATACCAACCGAGGTCCGGGCCGGCTTTACGATCAACAACAGAAAAGAATCATGCGCGCCTTAAACCTGCGCGCCCACGCACTCGCTATTGTGGTCAACCACCTAGTCAACGCAATTACAAACGCAGCCGTGTTTAGCGCGGTATACTTAAATTTTAAACTAAACAATTTTCTGTTACTTGCAAAAACCAGGGCGGATACCCTTGTAAGGGTATTCGCACCGACACCGAGTCTCGTATGAGTTCCTTGCATGCTCGCGCCCTTGACGCAGCGGTCCGATCCCACGGGGAATCATCCCAACGCGGATGGATACTGTCGCCAACAACACTGCCTCCACCTCCCGTAGTCTCTGCAGCATAACGAAGTTTGTGCCGAATCTAGTTTCTCCTGGCTGGATCAACTCCAACGGCCTACCGTCTGTGATGCCCAGTTGTGTCTTGTACTCCCTCCCGGCCCTCCTGAACATCGCCAATGCTCTCTGATGTCTCTTGATGAACGTGGTGATCTCCCTGCCCTGCAGAATCACCTCTGCAATCCATGGCACTGAAGCGATGTCGGACATCAGCAGGTTACACACATGGCATGCACATGGCACCCAAGGAATGCTCCTGATCGCTGGGTCGTCGTGTTCAACTAGTATTTTCCTTGCGGAAATGTTCACCTGTGCCGAGTCGGTGCATATGGCATTGACCCTGTGCACCCGCAACTCCCTGATGACCTCCTCCCACATCCTCGCAAAAGCCGGAGCCGACTTGTCCTTCCCCTCCATATCAACACTCTTCACCATGACAGCCCCCGAATCCCCAGCCGCAATGAAGTTTATGACCGGCCTATTGCTGGTCGTTGTCGTACCGTCCGTCATCAAAGTGAGGCCTGTGACATCCCATGGCTCACGGATCGTGTCCAAATCAGTATCCACAATTTTGTACTCCGTGGGCAGTGCCTTCGTCCTCAAGAAGTTGTACCCTGGCAGTTTCAACATCTTCCGCGACCTGGCCGCCTCGTTCATGGTCCTCTCCATGTTCTTATAGGAGTCTGATCTTGCAGCGTTGAATGCAATGGCGTTCTCGAAGAAGAATGAGGCGATCGCCTGGTCAAACTCTTTCTGGAGCTCATCCATGACAAAAGAGGCCATGGATGTTTGCTGCCGCCCCGCACCGGCCGAGGGAGGTCGTGGTGGGCGAGCGGAAGCCAAGACGGGACCCCGCAAGTGCTTGGCAATCTCTGATGGCACCTGATCAACCGTGCAAGTGGGGGCTGCTTTATTCCCGACGGAGGTCGATCCGAAACCAATGCCCCGAAACCAATGCCGCTCCCTTCAGCCGGCGTCGGACCTGCCCTGCGATCTGGCCCCGACGAAGGTGTGTCATGACCACCCTCCCCGTCTGTGTTCTGATCGGGCTCCAAATCGACAGGATCCTCCATGACCGGTGGACGACCCTGCGTCTTGTAATACTCATTCAATTTCGTCATCATCAATGGGCATATTTTTTGTGACGGGTGGAACTTGCGGACCGCAGCTGCAATCTCCCCGGTGCTGTGCTTGCAGCGAGGAACTTCTGACGCCTGCACAAAGTGCTTTGCCGCTCTCGATGACGTTCCGGTGAACTCCTTGTGGCACAATCTGCACCGCAATCTCCAGTTGCCATGAGCCTTACCGCCCGACAACTTCTGCCCTCGGTCCACCCATTTCCAAACATCGGACTTCCTCAAAAGTTCCTCTCTAGCTTCACCAGTATCGGGCACGAATG